ACCAGGTCCTTCAGTGCAGAGCTGCTCTCCAGCAGGTCCATGCCCAACCCGTGCTGGTACTTGGGGTTATTCCTCCCCAGGATCAGGACCTGCACTTTCCCTTATTGAATTTCTGTTGGTTCTTCTCTGCCCATCCTTCCAACCTGTTGAGGTCCCTCTGAAGGGCAGGACAGCCCTTCAAGGTATCACCACTCTCTCCAGTTTTGTATCAAAATGCTTGTCCTCATGCTGCTAAAGCTGTAAATATTGTGGCTTCTGGTAGGAACAATGTCCATGTGCTCTTTAGACTATATATAAACTACTGACTCACCTTCTTGCCTCAATTTAAGCAAATACTAATAAGCCATGTTTATAATGTGTTTCCTATCACATGCAATGGAAGCAATGTGCAAATTACCAAATTGTTTTGCTTTTGTTTTTTAATGTGTGGTCTGCAGGTGGTGAACTTTTTACTGGTCTCTACAGTGACTACTGGGGGAGAGATGCTGCTCTATTCCGCACCATGAACCGCATGGTACATCTGCGCACCGAGCCTGACAACGAGCGGCTGCTGAAAGGTGAGGGAAGGAGGATCAGGAGGAACCAGAGGTGTTTCACATGATTGTTTTTTTCTGTTTAAACAGAAACTGAAAACATAATCTTCATGCATATGCATATCATAGAGTCGCAGAATTTTAGGGGTTGGAAAGGACCTTACAGATGATCCAGCCCCAACCCCTGCCCTGGGCAGGGACACCTCCCACCAGAGCAGGTTGCTCAAGGCTCATCCAACCTGGCTGTGAACACTGCCAGGGTTGGGGCAGCCACAGCCTCCCTGGGCAACCTGGGACAGGGTCTCACCACCCTTAGAGTAAAACACTTTTTTCTCACATCCAACCTAGATTTCCCCTCCTTCAGTTTGAACCCATTACCCCTTGTCCTATCATTGCAGTTCCTAACACAGAGTCCCTCTCCAGCTCCTTGTAGCCCCTTCAGATACTGACAGGCTGCTCTGAGCTCTCCACACAGCCTTCTCTTCTCCAGGCTCAACAGCCCCAACTCCCTCAGCCTGTCCTCATAGGGGAGATGCTCCAGTCATCCTAGAAACTTTGTGGCCTCCTGGACGTGCTCCAACAGTTCCACGTCTTTCTTACATTGAGGGCACCAGAACTGTGTGCAGTATTCCAGGTGGGTCTCAGAGGGGGAGAATCACCTCCCTTGACCTGCTGCCCACAAATATCTGTTTGGAGGTGAACTTATTTCAACTGTATTTTATTTATTTAGACACAGGCTCCCCAGGACAGTGGTCACAGCCCCAAGCTTGACAGAGCTCCAGAGATGTTCAGACAATGGTCTTAGGCATTTATTATTTATTATTTGGTTGTTACCAGCTGATTTAAAGGATTGAAAAAATAAGAGTGTTTTAATAATGTGAAATCAATTCACTTTTGTTTTCTTTTAAAGAACCAAAATTCATTGGCTCCTACATGATTCCTGACAATGAAGACCATGATGACAACAAAGTATATTTCTTCTTTACTGAGAAAGCTTTAGAGGCTGAGACAAGCACTCATGCCATATACACCAGAGTGGGACGTGTATGTGCGGTAAGGCCCTTTCACTTATTCCCCAGCTAAATGAGAAAGGAAACATGCTCCTTTCTTTGGTCCTTCTCCCACCTGACTCCAACCTCCTGTCAGGGAGTTGCAGAGGGTGAGAAGGTCTCCCCTGAGCCTCCTCTTCTCCAGGCTGAACACCCCCAGCTCCCTCAGCCTCTCCTCATGCCACTTGTGCTCCAGTCCCTTCACCAGCCTCGTTGCTCTGCTCTGGACCTGCTCCAGCCCCTCAATGTCCCTCCTGAGCTGAGGGCCCAGAGCTGAGCACAGGATTCAAGGTGTGGCCTCACCAGAGTCCAGGGGCAGAATCACCTCCTGGTCCTGCTGACCACACTGTTCCTGCTCCAGCCCAGGATGCCACTGGCCTTCTTGGCCCCCTGAGCACACTGCTGGCTCCTGTTCAGCTTTCTGCTCTCTAGCCATGACTTCAACCAGAAGCCCACAGACCTTTCTCTTGCACTTCTTTAAAACTCCAAATCCTTGAGCCATTAACTTGACATCTGTATGTCAATTCAGATTTGATTCAGTGAATACAAAGCATAGTTAGCTGGTGATTCAAGGACTAGCTTATTTCCCCCAGCTTTTATATTTTCACCTGAGCTGTGGCAGGTTTTGTAGCACAGAGTCACCTACTCTGCATATGTCTACTTTCCTGAGGAAAACAGTTCTCTTATTTGTGAGAGGAGCTTTGCAAGCCTAACACAGAGCCTTAAACATCCAGTTCCACAGCCTACCCGAATATAAGGCCATAGTTTTGAGGATGCCATCTGAAGGTTACAAAATCTGATTGCTAAATAGTACTAAATTCTCCCTTTTCTTGACAGTCCCAACAGTCACAAGAGCAAGGAAAAGGTGAGACAGCCATAGCAAAGCAGGACTGATTTCAAGTTGCTGAGAAGTTGTTAGAACACCACATAGACAATTGCCTCAGACAATCCAGCTCTATAGATAGAATCAGGGCTTCAGTTTCCAAACACATTGATCTAACCCTACACCAAACTCCTAAAGCAAAGCTGAACTTTGCTAACATACTCAGTATATCTAGTGAACAAGAATGAGCAATGAAAAAAAAGGCTGCACCACAGCTGTATAGTTAAAACTATCCAGGGATGTGGTCCAGAATTAAAAAATTCTTATAAACCCACAGCTCTTAATGAGATCTGGACTTGATCAGTACAATCCTGCTTGAAAACTGATGCCAGGGAAATAATCCCAGTAATAGACATGTGGTTTGGAAATGCATGCTTTGGACGTTAAAAGATACAATGAGCAGCTAATTCAGCAGAGATGTTTGTGCTTCTAGACTTACTCATTCAAATTACCATCAGTGTTTGTGTCTTCCTACACAGAATGACATGGGAGGCCAGCGAGTGCTCGTCAACAAATGGACCACTTTCCTCAAAACCAGGCTAGTTTGCTCTGTGCCTGGGAGAAATGGAATTGATACACATTTTGATGAATTAGGTAAATATCCCAGGCTGCAACAAAGTTAAACCCATCAAAAAAACTCCATAATAACACATCTTGCTGTCATATATTCTACTCATGTTCATTAACAGGGAATGGTTGTTTGTGTTTTGTTTCCAATGTGCATGAAGTTGTATCCATATGGAGTTGACTATCACCACTTTATGCATTGCATTGTTTTTAGAGATTGCTTTTCAAATCTGCAGCAAATTAAATAGCATATATGAGTGAAATGGGATTATACTTTAAACAGGCAATGAAGTGTCTCTTTTGGGGCTGAGAAAAGTAGTTTGTTACCAATGATGTTGCATTTAAATTTTACAGAGGATGTGTTTCTGCTGCAAACTCGTGATAACAAAAATCCTGTGATATTTGGCCTCTTCAACACTACAAGGTAAACAACTGGAAGAAATAATAGCAGCCATAGAGGACTGTTTGAACAGTCTACTGAAGAGATAGAAGCTGCATGATACATATCCCTTAGCAAATATACAGTAAACAGTTTAATCCCTGTTCTATTCACAGTGGGACTTCCTTGTTAACGTACAAACTGCTCTGTGACACTCAGGGGCTCGAAGTCTCATTCAGTGAGTCAGCCTATCTGGATCACAAATTAATTAAGTGTTTCTCAGCTTGAAAATTTCCTAGTGTTGGATTATAAGCACTCCTGCATGCTTATAAGAGCAGCATCTCAGAGCCACCTGCCTTCCTTTAAGAGCTCCACTGCAATTCAGGGTTAGGAAAAAAGCAGCTTAAATTCCTACCAACTTCTTAGTGGAGCCTAAAGCACCAGCTGTGATGTTGCTGATGGCCTCCTTTTCTTTTTCCACTGCAGCCTAGTTCAGGTGGAAACCTCCAGTACTCTCATCTTGGCAATCCAACTATTAGTTTCAGATGTAACTGGTAGAGAAGAGCAGCCGTGCTTTTGCCACTATCTCCTTATTTATTTGCTTTTCATAAAGAAAGGCAGATCTTCTCCTCCAGGGATGCAGACACCTGGCATTTCCTGCCAGTAGAGAGAGGTGGGCACCTAATTAAAATTATCTGGATCTCCTTCTGGAGTCTTCAGAAATAATTTCTTTGTAGAGAGCACTGATGCTTGTTTAAAAAGAAAAAAGAATTGTTTTTCTGGAACTAAGTGAATAAATCTGAAAATTAAAATAGAAACTTCTGTGTGGATTGATCTACATAAAGTGATCTGATCTCAGAACACCGACTGACATTCCCAATTAAGATAGAAAGGACTCATTTTCAGACTGTTCATTATAGTCAGCATTGGTTGATTCCCATCTTTCCAAGGAAAAATGTTAGAGAAGAAAAACTGTTAACTGTTTAAGTCACTAATCAAAGACATAGAGGTCCTGAGTTCATTTTGCTGCATTTCCTCTGTGTTTCTAAACAAGCAATTTAGAGCTTATGCTCACCATCATCAAATTTTGGCACAACAACACAAAGCATCCTCAGAGAAATGTAACAAAAATAAACACATTAAAGACTTTTAAAGAGCATTGGACACAGTAGTCAGAAGAAAAGCATACAGGAAAGAATAAGTAGGATTTTCTCCCTGAAAACCGTTGAAATGTGACTCATTTTTAATTGCACAACAATAGCAGTATTAACTGTACAGAATGTGACATATTGTTTCAGTAATGCCTCTAAATTTTACTTCACAGCAATATTTTTAGAGGATATGCTATATGTGTTTACCACATGGCAAGTGTCCGAGCAGCTTTCAACGGACCATATGCTCATAAAGAAGGACCTGAATACCACTGGGCTCTCTATGAAAGAAAAGTACCTTATCCTAGACCTGGTTCAGTAAGTACAATCTATTTTGCTTCGCTTTGCTATGGAAATGAATTCAGAAAGAAAAAGCAGATTGCTGCTAATGTACAAATCTTCCCTGACTTCGCAGTCCAGGATATATTTCTTTGAATATTTACATATTCCAGCACTTCTGGAAAAGTGTTGAATGGCTCATGGTATGGGAGCTGAAAAAGGAGCAGAAGGGTGCAAGTCATTTTCCCAATAGCATGGAGCACATTAGCTGAGGTCTTTCCTGGGTGTTAATAGATTTAATCAGGTTTTTCTCTCTAGGTTGCAGAGCACATCAGAGGCTGAAGCAGCTGCTCTACCAGATAACAGAGAATGAAATGACTCACTTTTCTGCTGCTCATTTAGGGCACAGTTTAGAGGTCTTTTCAATGCTTTTCCAGCAGCATGAAGAGAAAGCCTCTTTCAGGCTGCAACCAAGTGTTAGGTTTCACACTCCAAAGAAAAGCAGCAGTTGGTAAACTGATTCCCACTACCTCTCCCCTTACAGAAGTGACATGAGGCCAAGGATAGCCTACTATTAGTCATCCTCTCCCAGGCAACCAGCAGCAGGACAAGAGGGCACAGACTCCAGCTCTGCCAGGGGAGGGTTAGGTTGGAGATTAGGAAGAGATTTTTTGCAGAGAGAGTGCTCAGGCATTGGAATGTGCTGCCCAGGGAGGTGGTGGATTCCCCATCCCTGGAGGTTTTCAAGCTGAGACTGGATGTGGCACTTAGTGCTATGGTCTAGTGACCACGGTAGGGTTGGACTTGATGATCTTTGAGGTCTCTTCCAACCCTGTTGGTTCTATGATTCTATGATCTCTGAGACTCAGCATTCTGTGCTCTTAGCTCTTGAATGAGTAAAGAATAAGCCTATAAGGAATGACAGCAGAGCTTTAAACACCCAGACGAGCACTGTTAAGAGTCACAGAGGTTCTGACAGACTCTGCAACCCACTGCACAACTTCTGCCATAATCTCTGCCCCTGTTTTACTGAGTCTTTTGGTTCACTTAGGTTGTGTTGCTTCTGGAAACGACATCAGTTACATCAAAAGTGGTGTTGATAGACTTCAGAGACAGCTGCATCTACTGTTTCCTTTCTAGACTACTTGATTTTATTTGATTAAAAATGAAAAGCCTGTGAAGGATTATTAAATCTCTCCAGGGCTAGAACATTGCAAAGGGAGCCTGGCAATGCCTATTCACTTGATCTGCTGTTCAGTGCTTGGGAAGCAGAGGCTTAGCCTCTCTTCATGCTCCTGCTCTGTCTCTCTATTGCAAACAGCTGGTGAAATTCCACCACTAGGTTGATTAGACAATTACTTTAAAGTCAACACTGAACAAATACTTTCCTGTAGCTAAGCCCAAAATGTGGAAACAAACATTGCCCCATCTTGACAAGTGTAGGAGTTTTTTGTCAATTACAGTTGGCCACAAGTTTAAAATTACTGTTTTCAGTAAACATAAGGAGTATTTTCTTTCATATTATTGATTGAAAAATCCAATTTAATAGGGAAAGGCTGCTACTGTGGCTTTGCTTGAAATGTTTCTTAAAACCACACTGTCTTATGAATATTTGGAGAAAGTAAATGGTTACTGAGATATTTCCAGCTTGATCATAAATGTTTTCAATTAGACATCATGAAGCAAATTGGAAAAGCAGAATCTATGTTCAGCTGGGAAACACTATATGCTGCACAAAGCATCCTAAAATTAACTTCTCTCTTTAACACATTAAATTACCCCTAATTGCACATTTGACTGAAGGAGGAAGCTTCTTTTAATCAGTCATTGACATAAAGTCTATTTGCTTTGCAAAACAGTAGATTGATCAATGCAAACATTGGTATTTGAAGCTAAACAGTGATATGTAATACTGTCATTGTGAGTTAGGAATTGGAACCAAATCTAATGTTGTTCGAATGCCTGAAATTAAGAATTGCTGTTGCTGCTGACATGATTTTGAAGTATGCTTAGTTTCTTATGGCAATATATTTTGCAATCAGAAGTAATAAGACTAGAGATTGATTTCAAGCATTAGTATTCTGCTGACTTTGCATGGCTGTGTCTCTGCTGGGACAGGAAACTCTTTTCTCCTAACTGTCAATGGCCATTCTGATTGCATCTTCAACATAAATTTGGGGAAGATGAGCACTATGGCTTTTGTCAAAATCCTCAAGTGTTAATGTTAACCTCTTCGTATGCCAGAGAGGGAGGAACTCCCTCTTTCTAAACATCACAATGCCAAGGCTCTGTTCAGCACTGCCTTTCTTCTCATGATCAATAGTAAGCATAGATGTCACTGTCCCAATTCCTACCATTGTCTTCTGTGCCTGTTTTTAGGTCAGGTGTTCTGTAGACTTGTCATTATCTGTGGAAACAAGACCTGTCTCTGACAATGTGGATGCCAAACCTTCAGGCTAATCTGTGCTTTGTGTTTTTGCAGTGTGCCAGCAAGGTGAACGGTGGTCTGTACACTACCACCAAAGACTATCCTGATGAAGCTGTTCATTTTGCCAGGAGTCATCCACTCATGTATCAGCCCATCAAGCCTGTTCATAAGAGACCAATACTAGTGAAAACAGATGGAAAGTACAATCTTAAACAAATAGCAGTGGACAGAGTGGAAGCTGAGGATGGGCAATACGATGTCTTGTTCATTGGCACAGGTAATTCATGAAAGCAAGAAGGACAATTAATTTAATAAAGGCTTTTTTGCCTCCAGGATGAAGAAAATCAATACAACATTCCTTTTAAACAATCATTCTTTACATGACTGTGCCAGTCTTCACCTTACAGGGGAGGTTAGTTATTCTAGACAAGTGCTTCACTGTGATGGTAACATTGTATAGGAAAATAATTCAAAGATTAGAGATTCAGATTAGATGTTAGGAATTTTTTTTTTCCCTGTTAAGAATGTTTAGGCACTGGAATAGATTGCCCAGGGAGGTGGTGCAGTCACCATCCCTGGAGGTGTTTCAGAGGTGTCTGATGTGGCAGTGGGTGATCTGGGTTAGGGTTTGGGGGTTCCAGCAGTGACAGGTTAATGGTTGGACTTGATGATCTTAGAGGTCTCTTCCAACCCTGATGACTTTAAGATTCCATAAGAGAAATTTAAGCATAGGATTCCATTTTAATTTCTTTTCTTTCCAGGCAAGAACCTTAAATCAAATTGCTGAATCACCTTATTTTTGAAACTTCAGAACTCAATCATTTATCTGAGTATAGTTGTGAGCTGAGACCTAGAGACAGGAGAGAAACAAAGGTGATATGATTTTTCCAAAATATCAGTGTAAGTTACTGGCTTTATTCCTATTTTCCCCAGTTCTGGAGACCACAAGTCTAGCTGATACTACTAAAAAGAAACTGCCAGCTTCCAGATTTGGATTACAACAGAGCTCAAGGAAGGAAAGAGGAAAAAAAAATGTTAGAAGTTTCCTGCCAAGTTTTCTTGTCTTTCTTTTGTGCCATTTTCATAAGATACAGAGAGCTTATTTAAAGAGAATTTTTAAACATCTTGTAAACAAATATGATTAAGGCAAAACATAACATAGAGCTGCACTAAGTCTAAGAAACCAGAGGAAAAACGCAACATTCTGCTAGTATTTGGAAAATAAGAAAACTTAAGAAAATAAAAGGAAATAGTAGAACTAGACAAGACTTTAGTCACATCTAATCTGTCTGGAAAAACATCCAAGGATTCTTACACTCACATTTAATCAATTTAACAACAGGAGTTGTATCACAAAACATTTTGACCATTTTGTCTAGGAAAGCATTTACAGTGAATTATTTTTTACTAATGAAATTCCTCTGATAAGCACATTTCAGGTTTGAAAACATTGAAAACAGCATGTTTGTAGACTAGCAAAGGCTTCCTTATATTACTGCAGTTTTCTGAGCTTTTAAGTGGCCTCAGTATGGTCTTGGTATTGGCTTAGTGTGGTCTATAAAAAATTGTGCCATGTGCCACTTAGAATCATAGAATCATTGAGGCTG